AATCGTTTAACTTCAATAACTAAATAATTTCTTTTTAGAAAGGTAAATAACGGACGATGCAATGATAGGTGTGGCTCGACCTTTCGAAACGGAACGTCGTTATCGGGCGTTATCAGCCGTGGTGGTGATTGATAGCGACCTAGCTTTTACAATAATTGCTCGATCGCCGATGGTATTAAACCGTAATTGTTTACCGTAATTTGGCGGCTAAATATAAAGTGCGTCACGCTGCTCAGGTTTCGGGGCGGAGGACGACGTCGATTAATATGATTGCAGCTCGTCGGAAGACCTGGTCTGGATTAATTAGGAGTGCGCGTGTACTCTTGACGCGGCGGCCCCTAATGCGAAAGTTAAGCTCACATCACACCAAGCTTTTTCGTTAGTACCTATAGGAGTGGTAAGAAGTTTCAGAGTGGCGATAAACTGTCTTTTCGAGTACGTCGTATATACAGTCGCTTTCTCTTTAGATTAAGTGTTCTTACACTTTTTTTTTAGTTCACGCTTTTTCTCAATTCTAATAGCTTTCGTGTTCTTTTGTCAAGCGATATTCTAGTGGAAAGTGTCGAGTACTGACCATTATCAATTAATGCGCTGTAAATCTTTTACGCTTATACGTTATAACTACAGCATGGTACTTTACGTGATGTTGGGAATACCCCATTTGTGCTTTGCCAAGATCATTACATGGTAATTGTTCGACATTAAGATCTAAATAAAGCGCTGTGTTAATATAACCTGACATGTAACGAAGACGAAGCAGGAAAACGAACAATTTGAAATTATTCATGTCACTTTACTTTAATGCACTTTATACGCTTGTATCCTGCAATAATGAAGCTACTATATGTATATATTTTATGATTTGTTTTAATTTTTGTTTGTTTGGTAATCGAATCAGTCATTTTATATTAATGTAAGGCATATTTTTCTAAAGATGCTTTATTTTGGTCAAAATTACTTAGAGGCAAATTAAATTAAATCCATTTTAATTAAATTAAGTAAAGTGATAGTGACTAGTGTGTGCATATATTTGCAGTGGATGTGAAACTGAGCACTGAAACTTCGACATTATGTCTAATCGTATAAATGAAAATGTTAAAAGTAAAAATTACCTAAAGGAAATTACGTGAATAACCCATAATTCGTGATAGATTTAAAAATTGTATTTTGTTTTTAATTTTATACATTATACTGTGTTTTGATGCATACGTGTATATTATATTAGGTGTTGGAATTAATTCGTAGCGTTTTTAAATGAAAGAATGTTATTTATTTCACATGAGCATTAAAAAATACATTAATGAAAGTACTTCCCATCACTTGTAAAACGCTACGAATTAATTCCAACACCTAATATATATATGTAATATATAAATATTTTAGTTTTTTAAATGTTTTTGTGTTACGTGGCATATAAAAATATAAATAGAATTCTGTCCTGAATTTGGACGAATTATAAATAGTGGATTTAAAACAAGACATTACTTATATTTTGAAAATATATTTCACTACCTGTGATACTTAAAACTAAATCAATAAAAGTTAATTAATATCGTGCTAAAGAAAAATTGACTTTAACTTAATTAAACGCGCCAGAAGAAAAAAGTAATCATTTTCGTGAAGAAGTCATTTCTGACAGACAACTAATGCTTGTTATTACAGCCCTTCATGCTATTGCGTTCGTCCATCTCGCTGTTTCCACAGATCATACATCCTGTTGCACATAGCATTCGTGGTGTAACTATCGAGCAATCGATATCGCACGTTATAATCCTATTTACCTCGTTAGGCACAGGCGAAACGTTAATTCCTCGGTCCCTGTTCTCCAGTTCGATCCCAGAATTCTCCGCTCCACATTTCAACCCTTCGCTCATCTGTCGGCCACGTAACACTGCGACTGCAGCCACATATACATCACCATGCTATATAATGACATTCACCACGATTTCCGCACGGTAAATTAGACTTGAAATGAACGCGCGACTTTCTTGCAGCGTCCCGTGACGGAGTCTCGTGTACGTGCCCCGCCATACCCCTCGGGAATAACGGTGGACGGGCGTGGGTGGCGCGTTCGAACGACCGGGGAATTCCCGGGCATCTCGCGCTTTAATGAGGTGAGACGCGCCGAGTGGCCCGAGCACGAGGTATTATTCGGGTAGGAGATTTAAAGTTTAGCCGATTCTGTTCTCGGATCCTCGCCCCTGTGACTGAGGGATGTCGCGCGTAAATAATATGCTAATCCGTACTGTCCTTCCGTCTCTTCGTCGCCCATCCCATCTCTTCTTTCGGATTCTTTTTCTCCCACTGCTAGTATCCGTCTCTTCTTCTTTCTTCTACTTCTTCTTTCATCCCTTACCACCCCTTCTCCTTCGGCCATTCGCTCTTTCGAACTCCTCTCTAATCTCGCGAAAGGCTAATGCATGTTATTCAGGCTGGAAGACAGGAAGAACTCGATATCGACTTTGAATTTGTTCTTGTAGTTGCATCTTCTTTCACTTCTATATTGTTCAAATGCTAGTAGCGTAGCAACAATAATTTCCTGATTCTTAAAGTTCATTTTTATGCGACACTAAGAAATGAACTTTTTCTATGGAATTGTGATCGACAAAAATAACTTGTAAAAACATTCCTTGTTCTGATGTATTAAATAAGAAAAAGAATTCTATTTTCGCAGGTCGAATTAGTGAGACGCCTCTCTCGAAAAGTCAGCAGTTCGGCTAGATTTAAATCTTGAGCTGATTTTTCTGTAATAATCTTTGCTTTAAAATGTTTATTAGCATCATTGAAATTGATGATTAATATAATTTGTGATGTTATTTTCAACTTTAATTGCGTTTCAAGTCCGACAAATCAAATCGGTTTATAAAAAAAAAAGTTTTTGTAAATTTGCATACGAATATTATTAAGCACCAAAGTTCGCTTTGATCGAAAATAGGATTCTTTTCTTGTTTGATTTATTCTTTTATTAGGGTTTAATTTCTACTTATAATTTAATACATTAAACGTTTATTATAATAAAAGCGTCTAATATATTAAGTTTGAATTACGTGTGTATAACAGTACTGTAATGTATCGTATACTATATTATTGTAGGCACAACTATATTGAAAATGATTCCATTTCCGTCGATGCAATTTGACATCGAACAACAGTAGAAAGGTTGCATTGCTCATAATGTTTATTCAGAAATGCATCAATATTGATAGGATATGGGTGTCTAATATCACAAATAAATAGGTTTGACTGTGCCTAGCCAATCGTAATATTAGAACATGGTATTGATAATGATATATGAACAAATTGGCAACATTCAAAGCCAGTGACTGACAATATTGACAAAACATAATTACCCATACAATCATTACAGTTTCGTGTACTATACTTTAAAGAGTTGTATTGCGTATCTTACTCTACAAATTATGCAATATAAAGGTACATAAAATAATAAAATTGTTAAAATATTAGTAAATATATGTTGTTAACAGTAACATTTAAATTAATTTCATCAAACATTGCAATTTATATTACTTTAGTTTTCTCATATTTTAGTATTCTCATGTTTTATTATATGTATAATCAAAATTAGATTTAATTAATGAAGTCAATTAACTTAATTTGTTTAACTTACATTAGTTAATGTATTACTTTAATAAATTCTGTACATTATATTTATAATTTTTCGATAAACAGGAATAGTAAAGCAATGAATAACGATTTCTTAAGAGGACTGTATGCTGAACAATGACATCATAATTTATCGATTAGAATAAAAGTGCGAATGAAGAATATAATGTCCATATGTATATTCAGTGTGAATATTTCAACGCTTGCCTAGCCAATATTTTCACGCGAAAAAATGCAAGAGTGGTTTCGCGACAATCTTTTTGTGTCTATCTATGACGACTCTCTAACTTTTTCCACGGGAAATTCTTAAAGATCGTTGAGAATGTGCATACGTATGTTCAAGTGTATGCACATGCCTATGTATTTATACAGTGCGACCCAAGTTTTCACTGCATTTCTTTTCATCTACAAATTCTTTGATCAGTTTGATATTAACTTTTTCTTGAGAGTGTAACACTTTTTTTTTGAATAGCAAAAAATTTAAAGTAAATAACATTTCAACGAAGTAAATTTTTGTTCTTTAATTAATTTTATTTACTTTAGCAGAATTTTAATTATTGATTTATCGGTACAGTTACTATAATATAACTAAGAAAATGTAACTCAATAAAATTTTCAATAGAAAAATGCTTTTTTTTTTGAGTTAGTTAATCAATTCATAATTATGAAAAGAGGTGCGGCAAACTTAGAGCACTCTGTATACTAGAGAAAAATTACCAGCCGAAAAGAGAAGACTTATTGAACATAGCCGCCGGCCGTAAGAAAAGTTCCGATCTGAGCGGCACGTTAACACGAAACTTTGCGGAAGTATAATTTTTACGTACTCAGAACCGAAGAAAGTATACGTCTGCGAATATCGAGCAGCCATATCGCACTGGATATTTCGTTTATGCTTTTTTAATGCAGGATTCATCGGAAAAATTCAACATAAAGATAACATAAAACGATAAAATTTTATTCAAGTTTGTATACAATTATATATATATATATAATATTCTGTTATAATACATAATAATTACTGTTGTTTATTCATAATACATGAACAAATTGTGAAAACAACAATTGAAATTAAAAATTTTCTTGAAGCAATTTATTAATTCTTTACAATTACTTATTATACTTACGGTCACATTAATTTTTTACTTTTTTACGCAACTTTATTTTATATATCACTTTAAAAATAATTTATGTTATTGAAATTTTTACTTTATTTTTATCTGTCTAATTATTTGTTTTTAGAAGTATATATGCTCTACCATTCAATAAGAAAGTTTGCTTATTATTTCAAAATTATACTACACTGAATTTTCAGAAAGAGGAATGAAAATTGAGTAATGTATGAATGAGGATTAAAATCACTGACATCTTTATTTCAGGAGAGGGTGTCATTTGCGTTTACTTCTATTTGCAAGAAAACAAGACTACGAAGACACGTAAGAGAGGGATCGAGCAGTCTAGAGAAGAAAGTCTCACCGCGGATTGAAGGCACAACTCAGGCTACAGTATATTCTTGTGTAGGCCTACCGAGTGGAATTTCCGTAACTCCCCGAGAAAATTTACGAGCACCGAGTTGATGGGGTTTCCGTGCTTGCCCGAATCTTACCACCTAATATCTTTACAAGAACTCCTCGGAACTCAGTTGCTCCCCTCTATCACACGAAACGTCTCTATCAGGTACATCACAAGCATGTTCGCGTAATGCATGATCTCTGTCCTTATTATATATGATTATTCTATTGTAACATACTATTGCTATTTTCAAACCAGGGATGAGGACTGTTACGAATGTTATGCCTACGTTTTTACAAAAAAAGCACGCGACTTCTATATCCTTTGGAATAAAAGCGACTGTGATAAAAAAACTAAATCGTATCAATTTTTTTATTAATATACTTAAATAGTCATATAAAAATTGATTAATTAAAATTTAATTTTAACGCCTAAATATATGCTATAGATTGCTTTGTACGTACTTTAGATTATCGGTATATAATATTTTTCTTTTGTTACTTATAACATTAAATTACTTTTGCGGACTATCTAACATATAAACAATTTCAATTAAAAATTAGTCGACGTAATTAGCCTTAATTAAATTAACCTTTCTTTCTCTTTATTATGACTAAAACGAGTATTACACATGGCATCCATGGCTAGTTAACCATAGCTAACGGGATGTACCTAAGGTGTATACTAATTAATCCTTTCAGTTCTGTATAATATAGCGCAATATGCTGTTACTATTACGTATTTAATTACCGTTCATGCAAGTGTATTTGCATTTAGACGAATATATAATAATGTAAATAAGATAAATTCACATGGGTTATATAAAGTATCATCAGTTATGCGATTAAAAGACACTTCCAATATCATTATCTTTAAAGATAAAGATCACTGATCTTTTCTTGTATACTGTATAGCTTTTCTTTATCGCTTAAACATTGTCCCTTTTTTGCACCTAGAACTAAACTTTTCTATGTGCTTTCGTCTTCCTCCGCGCCTCTTTCACAAACTTCGCTTCCAGCCTTATCATCTTCCTCTCGATCTCTATGCGCGTAATTTTACCGATTTCCTTTCTACTTTCCCGCCGTTGTTGCTCTTATGGTCTCTCATAGCGTGCCTTCGTCACGTTGCTTTCTCTCTCATTACGTCCCGGCTCTTTTGTTATCCTTTGTAGAGACACCTGCGTTCATATGCACCGGCACACGTTTATTCACGCTACTCATTTTTCTCGTTTTATCCCCTTATCGCTTCTCGCCATCCTCTTGTGAATATGATATTTCTTAATTTCTACCCGCTCCCGTCTTTGCTTTGTTATATACATCGCTCTTTCTCTTATTCCGTCGAGTTTCATTCCGGCCCCTCGTCTCGCCGGCGTTACCACCCTTATTCTCTCTACAACCGCATTCATTCCTTCCCTGTCCCTCTCTTCTATGTCAATCTCATTCTTTCGTTTTTATTTCCTGCTCCTCTCTTTGGAGAGTACCTTTTTCCCCTTTTTGTTTTACCGCTTTATTGCGTCTCGTCTCCGCGCCCCTTCTCCATTATTATTTCCTCGCTAGCTTTTTCCACTTTGTCTTCTCACACGGTCTTCATTGTACCTTCTCAACTCCCTCAATCTTCTCGATACACACCGCAACTCGCGCGCAGAGATGGATTTTCATTCTCTGCGTGTCATACTTGCATAGAACGAGCTTAGGACTTAAATGGCTTAAGTCAAGTATATCGTATCTCGAAAGATTTAAGCATACGTATTCCGAGTAAACAAATTAATTAGATAATTAGGCACAATGAATAAGTTATAATAATTATGTAAATATATTTAAAATATTTTATCCTTCCTCTTATACATCTAATTTTTTACACATACTACGTATAGTTTAATTCCAAATGAGATTTTTTTCAAAATAATTAAACAAAATTTTTCAATCATTTAATTCATAATGACACAACGCATGGTTTATTAGTGGATAACCATCACCATGACTACTTTTTACCTTCCTTTCACCCTAATTCCACGCAAACGTCATGGAAATGGCCATTGTCCGGGAAAAAAGACTCCCCCGCGCGCGTTTAATTCATTTCGCCGATTTCGTATTGTTCCGCGGCTCATTTTTCATCCGGTGCGCGAGTCCATTCGCGGTTCCCTTTTCGTTTTCAGTAGCTGAACTGCGGCAAACTCGTGCTCATCCAGAATTTCAAAAAAATCATCCACACTTCATCTATGAAACTGTTTCATTTGTTAAGATAATTATTTCTAAAGTAAGTAATCAATGCATTTAGCAAGATTATAATTTTGAATCCATAATAACATGTAAAATATTGAAGAGATTGAGGTAAAATAATAATTTATCCTTTATATCCGCAGAAAAATTGCCTTTAGATCAATATATTTTCATGTTACATATCATATTTTAAAAATAATGAATAATATATATGTAGAATAAATGGATAATAGAATATTGCACTTCAAAATGTTATTTACGAGTGAAATTGAAATTTTTATGAGTACTCAAAGTAAAATATCTTTGTTTAAGGGAATTATCATTTTTTTATTGAATTTATTTGATCTTTCTTTTTACTAAAACAAAATTAAAGAAATTCAAGAGACTATTTTTGTTCCTGAAAGTAACAAAAAATATCGGATTAATTTATTTTTCACAGGTTTAATTACATTTACATCAGATATTACATATTAATTTTAATATTTAATTTAATATAAATGTGGTATTATAGATTACAAGAAATGATCAAGCAAGTTTTCTTTAGACGCATATTTTTCATAAATATATTAATGCTCATTCCTTTCGCATGATATTATGCGGCGAACCCGATAATGATTTTGAGATATTAATCTTATCATATTTCGGAGCACCCCTGGTGACCGGCCAGTCATCTGGGAAAGACACTAGTTCAACTTTCTTTCAATTGGAATCCGCGATTCTACTCAGAGATAAAAAGGATAAATTACTTCCCCCGTGAGAGAAAAAATTCAATTAAAAATGGGGGAAACTGCGGACGACAGATGGATTCAAAGGAGGAATAAGCACATATCTGTCCGGAGATAGGGACTGAAAATCGTTGATTCGAAAATATTTGTGAGGAATTATGAGAACACTAATAGAAGCTTTAATGTCGTTCCTCGTGACAAACCGTGAAAGGACAACGTACTTAGAAGACAACGTTTTTGCATTTTTATGTCAAAAACACATTGGCTGCATGAGACATTCACTCTTTTACCTGCAGGTAGATGTTACTCTTGCTTAATTATGTCTGTTAAATCAGTCATTTGACTTCAGACAAATAGATAAATTATTGGATCGGAACAAAAATTCGTAGCACTACAAACTTCTAAATTCAAGCAGCTGTAAATTTAAATTTTATTCATTAAAAATGAATAATAATAAAATTTAAATTTAAAAAAGGATTTTAAAGCTTAAAATCTTTACTTTTGAAAGATCATTATTATCTTGTAAGTTCTGTGAGTTTAATAATTTTTGCATACAGAAAACTATAAGCAAAATAGAAAATTTTCTTCTCACTATAGACCTGTCACGGGGCCAAAAAAGTTTACGAAAATTTTTTAACATAAAAGCTTAAAATTTTTCCTTAAAATTGTTCTTAAAATTGTTTTTAAAAAATGTTCTCAAAATTTTGGAGCATTTTGGCTTTGATTGCTCATAATTCCGTTAAAAATCATTGTACTGCAATTTAAAAAATATTCTTAAAGCTGAAATTTTATTCTATCAAATAGTATAATCACCAAAATTTTTTTAAAATATATAGACATGATGTAGTACTACGAACTTTTGCTCCAACCCAATACATTGATATGATTGTGAATAGTGTACAAAAAACAGTGTAAATTATTCTCAAAATCTTAGCCACCTCCATCCTTCTTGTACGACGTCAACGAACCACCTTCGTCTCTATGATTCATTATCACGGTCCTTATGAAGGGTCATTAATATTATTTTATGGACATGCTAACATGCTTCGGCACTAACTAATGTCGTAAAAAATTAGCACAATGACGACGATATAACTAAATAACAACATGAGACCCTTTTTTAGCATATCCGACCTTCCAACGAATAATAACGTCGTAAAACCTTTTGCCTGTTAGAATTATTTTACATTAGACAGTAAAATAATTAAAGAATGAAACGATAATAAGTTAATCTGACCTATATGAATAAATCAAACAATTACGTGAAGGACCAATACTATTGAGGTTAGATCTTGATGCGTAATAATATTTTTATTTATGTAAATACTAAACATATCTTTTTGCTATATAGAAACTGTGAGCCGCTTATTGTTAGACTTGAAACGCAAAAATAAAGCTGAAATAATAATTGAATTAATCGTCAATTTGATTACGTCACTAGTAAAACGCCATAATGAATTTGGAATATTTTATATATATATATATATATATTACATGTTTATATGTATATATATATATATACATTTTTTTTAAAACTTTTAAAGTGAATCTTACTCTTTCTTAAAAAGAAAAATCTTATTCTTAAAGATTGAAAACTGAATCACTCTTTTTTAAAAAAACTGGATCGATTTAATTACTCTTTAGAGTAAGAACTCCGTTCTGTTAAAGTTTAAAGAGTATGTATGATTTTTCCTTTGATTTACAATATTAATTTTATGTCACAAAAAATGAAGAAAGTGAAAAATATTTACTTTATCCTTTTTTATACCACATGTTTTAGCTATTTTATTAACTGACGGAAACTATTTTAACATTTGTCAGATGATTTACCAGCCTGCGTTAATAATATGTTACAAAGTCTGTGACAAAGAATTATTAAAATTTTTTGTCCTAGTTTTATTTGCCAGACAGCGCGTTACGTTCGCTTTATGTGCTACAATAAAATGTACCATTTGGTAACATGCAATCTCTAATAGGTCTAATAAAGCGAGTCTCATGAAAGAGGTTTTAAAATGCAGTTGCAATTATAATTACCGCGCGATCTTTGGAGATACACTAAATGTTACCGTAATGCAACGTGCATTATGATCGTGAGAGACCTGCATAAAATGTAATCAACGCGACGTGTGAGAGGAAGCGCGATGCAAAATATACGGGGACGCAGTGCCGGTGTAATTTTAGGATAATTTGAACTCTTGTGTACGTGCAGAAATATTCCCATCTCTCCGACCCGTCGCGCTAGAAAATTCTATTTTACATATTTCGGAGGAATTCTCATGAGTCCCGTTTCGTATATATCTGTATCATATGAATTCGACATTTTCCAAGTGGCGCGCACGCGATGAAACAAATCCCGCGATTAAAAAA